CAAGTAGACAAATTACGATAAAACCATCTGTTTAGGTAATTACAACCACAGTCACAACTTTGAATTTTATTACACTTCCACCCTTATGTAGTCAAATTCAAAACAATCTTCTATATTATATGGAATGTTCTCTAGTTTGTACTCGTTTTGTGCAAAAATACAGTTTATAATGCACTACAATCTAATATTTATAAGTCAAGAAACACATCTTATGATTCTCAAAATGTGAAGCTCGAATTGATAAAAATTATACAAATTGAAGAATATTCCACGTAATCTAGAAGATTCCACTAAATTCTATATTTAATGAACCTAACAGTATAATTGTAACTACTCAAATATAAATATTTTTTTTAGCAATTTGAGCATATCTCAGGGGTTGACCTTAATTTACCCTTTATTTTTTCGTACCAATGGACAAAGAACTAGAATATCGCAGTTTGACTAGGAGTTAATAAACAAATAAAGAAATTTGTGCTTATTCAATATTCAAATCGGTTAATCAGTTAGCTTACCTATATATTGGCAGCATGATTCTGGGAGAATTCTATTGACTATGACTTAAATCAAGAACTCATCCAAGCCTATATCCTTGACTAATGAAATGAAAAATGATCATCAAAGTCAACGTTACATTTCTAATAAAATTTATAATTAGTTTTAGCAAGAAAACGAAATACTTTTCAAATAAGTTGACCAAGTCAAAAGGGACACTCCAAATTGCCAAAACCCTAAATCACCAGGTGCAAAATAAGATTTAACATGATGAAACACATTGGGGATCATAATATAAAGGAAAAGATGTGACTCAAACATAATTCGAGTCTAGATTAAACAAGAAATGTATTAATATCCAACGGTACAACTACTAAAGAAACTGCGAATTAAATAACGATCGGCACAAAGTATTAATATTCAGCGGTAGACAGCAAAAATGTTACCAAATAACTTAAACTTTAATAGCATACTTCCTCAGGGGGAAGTACATCTCTTTCTTCTTTTGCTTTTCAGTCTTCAAAGATGCCTACAAAAAGAACAGATAAAAACGAACATAAGAATGCCGTGGAAAAAATGTACGCGCAAGAAAATATCACAACTGCAAAATTTACGAGTTTCGATGGAAATGAACATATATATGATGTCATATGTAATCTCTAGTTGAAACTATGACATATAACTCAACAAAGTGTCGAAGTCTGTATTGCATTAGGATTTCTGGCATTTGGTCAACTAGTGATTCTTTTAGTTCTGAAATTACTCCAAAGCCACCACGGCTCGACTGATAATATATCTAAAAAATTACATATGGATACAGTGACTAGAACTGGGAATAGTTTAATGCAGCAAATATACAATCATCCTAGACAAGGTAGTCAAAACCGGGAGTGTAAGTAAAATCGAAAGGGGGGCTATAATATCATAATCGTAAAATCATGGAATCATACATGGCTATTACATTATATATCATGCCTGATTTTTACATACACAAAAAGTCTCCTAACATTAATAAAGTAAAATCATAGCTTTTGAAGATTTCATGGATTCTGCTAAGGATTTTGCTTGGATTAGGTGTCCATTATATTTAACAAGGTTTAAGGTAGTAAAATCGTAAAATCCTAGGATTTGAATCGGGGCTTTAACTACCTTGATGCTAGAAAACCAGAAAAAAAAATATAAAATATAATTATTTTTGTGTGTACGTTGAATATAGATAGGCTTTCATTGTTGAACATACAGTACACATACATTAGGCAGGATAAGATTGTATAATTACATCAAGAGTGTGTTTGAAATCCATCCCCAAATCCCTCAATCCAAACAAGTCCAAGGGATTTGTTATTATAGATTTAAAATCCCTCCATCCAAATGCACACCAAAGGTGATTCAGTATATTATCAGGCAATCATCAATCGGGTGAAATTAAGTATACGAATAGGTAGGATTAATGGATTATAAGCCGGTCACGAAAATGATTAACAAAGTGAGCGAAAAACCACAATTAGAGCAACAGCGACAAACAGTACACAAACGAATCATCTAGAAGTCTTCTGATCGATCTTTATCTGGAAAGAGTCGATCGATCATTTCTAACGCTACACCTAAGTTTAAAACTAGACCTATAGAAATTTTGAGGAGTACAATTAGACAGTAACCTATAAATAAAAAATGTAGATTACATAACATTCAGAAATCTCAGCATTCATATATATACAACACTTTATAAACTTGCAATCACATACCAACTAGAGCATCAAACAGAAATATCTCACAGACAGAACCAAACAATAAAAAATTCATTGAAATTTCTAGGTTAAGAAATGGGTATACCTGGTGCTTAGTAAGGCGGCGGCGGATGGCGCGGGTTTTCTTAGGGCGGAGATCGAGCGGAATGTACTTTTTGTTCTTGTACACTTCTCTGAGAGCTGCTTTCTGCTTCTGAGAAATGACAGTCAGAACTTGCGCAATCGAGAGACGCACAACCTTAATTTTGGAGAGCTTGTTGGGGGCGCCGCCGGTGACCTTCGCCACCCTGAGCAACGCTAGCTCCGCCTTCAGATCGTTCAGCTGCGCCAATAGATCTGCCTTGTTCTTCTGCCTCAATTCGTGCACCTTAATCCTCGCTACATTAGTTAACAAAAACACCATATCAGAATTGAAATTGAAATCAAAATATCAAGTAGATGGATTGTTTTCTCATACCCATTTTCTCGTTTGCCGCCGAATTTGGGGTTTAGGGTTTGCGGTTGACGACGAAGAGTGAGTGTAACAGAGAGAAAATGGTGAATAGAGAAACCCTAGCTTCATATACGAGGCGGTTTGGGCTTAGGTTATGTTTTGTATCTCACTATTTGGGCTTTTTTGGTTTACAGGGCCCAGTGATAAATAGATCGTCAAAGCTGGGCTTATTTAATTTTAGTCCTAAATTATAAATATTAGTTCAATTCCACCCCTGCCGTTAATTCTTCCAACGTCTGAACTTGACACTGTTACATCAAGACTTGTAAATTACCAAAAGGCCCATAATTGTTTCTCATACTCATCTTTTTTTTTTTGGATATCTGGTAATCATGAGAGGGCATGCAATCTGCATCTTTATCTTGTAAAAAGTTTTCAATAAATTTGGACCTACCATAAGAAACATTGAAGATGTAATCATTATATTGCACTCATTTTCAATTAATGGATCTTCCATAACTAATATGTGCACATATATTATGCATCGAAATTCAGCAGATATTTGTCACTCTTTCGTACAATTTGTAGATTGTTATACGATAGTGTAGATTTATCCAGTGCACATATATAATCGATTGTGAGTTCCTTCGTTATCAATCTTATTTCGATATCCTGAATCTTTGATTAGTAAGCTTTAATAATTTAGCTTTTGTTTCAACCTCATAATTTATATAAATATAGAAGAATTAAATATTAAAAAGTACTTGAAGATCACGCCCTATATGTATTTTTTTTTTTCTTCACGAAGGGAATAATCCCATATGGAAAAGCAGAGATAAAACAGTGGGAAAAACAATATATATGTCACGGGTTATTTGTAAGCATATATATGATATATGATATATCATTAATTAAATCAAAATTTGATCAACATGGTGGCAGAGGATAGTGAACAAACGAGTGCCACAACGTAATACTTGAATTTTTTATCCGATAAAGTCGATTGTCAATCATCTTCCGATCTAATGTTCAAGCGGGCCATAGTTTTCAGTTTTCAGCAAAATCGGTTGATCTGATTAAGTAGGTAATTGACCAATAAGTACCCGATCAGGCCATGTCTAGCCCCAATTACGATGTATATGTATCTGTGTATATGTATACACATACATGTGTCCCTAATTAAGCCAATTAAGGTTGGCAATTGCGTGATTATGAACTAGCAATCATATCTCAATAATAAGAGAGCACACATTTTGAAAACAAATGAAATTAACTTACCTAACTCTTGGGCTAAATAGTGCTACTAATCATCACACACACACACATATAAAAGTCCTCAAAGTGAAAAGAAAAGCACAACCACAAACTTCTTTCACCCACCCACTAATCCAAAAAGAAATTCAAACAAAAATAACCCAAATTCCAATTAAATTAACCCTCACCTTTATTTATTTATTAAAGACTCAGATAATTTAATCCCTCTCCTTTCCAATTCTTTTTTAATTTTTTTTTAAATAATTCCACTAGTAGTGGGACCCATTTAATTTCCTCCTTTTTTTTTAATTTTAAATTATTATTTTTTCAAATCCCTCCACTTTATATCCAGATTTAATGGCCGCTGAAGAATTAAGAACCTTTCTCCAAAGCCCCCTTCTCCACATTTTACCTCATCTCCATTCTTCCAACTAAACATAGAGAGAGAGAGAGAGAGAGAGAGAGAGAGAGAGAGAGAGAGAGAGAGAGAGAGAGAATGAAATCCATAGAGCTGTTTTGTGCATCTCCAGCTGCAACAGCCATATGCTCAAGCATGGATCACCGAGCAATAACCCGGCCCGGCTCAAAGCCGACCCATCGTCTCGGCTCGGAAACCCCAAGAACCAGCAGCAGCAGCCGAACTACATGCTTATCTCAGCTCCCATTCGACCCAGCTTCCTCAAAGCCGACCAGAAACAAGCAAGCCGATCAAATCTCACGCAGAAAAAGCTCTGCTGACGTGGACGATCTAGCTAACCCTAGAATCTCCTCGAGATCGTACCTACTGAGTCAACACGACAAACCTTTCTTGCTGGATAATCATCAGCATGCAGTAAAAGATTCTTCTGAAAGATCCCTTGTGGTTTCTAGCCATCCCTTGATTAGGGATGATTATAATAACTACAAGCGCGTCAACTCGGATCGATACCCGGTATTCAGATCCTTGTCGACTCGGGCCTATCAGAACCCGGTTTTCGAACCGACTTACTCGTTAAAGGGATCCGAACTAATTGCTCAGCCTCAGAAGAATATTCCACCAACTGGAAGAATCTTGACTGATCCTGTGGTCAACGATCTCAAATCTTCTTCAGCTCGTACTCCAAATCGTCAGGTATAATCAATTAATTGCATGTATTTTATTTCTATTGTTATTAAAAAAAATTAATGTATTATATAGGTTTTTGGCTTAATAATTTAACGTTTGAAATGTGTAGTTTTAATTAATTAATTAATTAATGCAGGTTGTTGAGTTGAGGGTTTCAATTCATTGCAAGGGTTGTGAAGGGAAGTTGAGGAAACATATTTCAAGAATGGAAGGCAAGTACTTTTATTTATATATATATATATATATATATATATATATATATATATATATATATATATATATATATATATATATATATATATATATATATATATATATATATATATATATATATATATATATATATATATATATATATATATATATATATATATATATATATATATATATATGCATCTATGTGTTTACTCTAATCGTTAAAAGATTCATCGTAAATTTTTCATTTTCGAAAAAAAAAGTGCCCGTATTATTAATACTAGCAAAACTCCTCATATGATGCACTATTTTAAGGAAAATAACCCCCTAAGGCCTCACCATTTAGAGGCCGGTTGCGCGTTAAAAAAAACATTATATGTATATATATGATTTCTTTTTGTTTTATGGACACGGTCAAATGATCTGTTGACCATAAGTCGATTCAGGGGATTTGATGCTACACCTGGTTATTAATTTACAACAGATGAATTTCAATCGTAATTTAAAAAAAATAACTACTTACTAAGCGCGTACACATACATTATAAATAACGTTTATGACCCGCCCATTCGTATGTGTTTGTTCTTTTGATTGCTCCAAGAAACAAATATGTAAATCTATTTGATAATCGATCAATTACATATGTTGATGGATATATAATATAAAAATGCAGGAGTGACGTCATTCAGCATAGATTTGGAAAGCAAGAAAGTAAGAGTAATAGGGGATGTGACGCCATTAGGTGTACTAACAAGCATTTCCAAGGTCAAGAGTGCACAATTTTGGCCTTCACCTGTTTCTTCTTCTTCATCCAATTCATCTTCTTCTCCAAGAGTTAGCCTCACTAGATAAAATTAATTATATTTAATTTTGTATTAGGGTTTTATTTTATATATTTATTATTATATATATGTTTTCACAATCATCTATTTTAATTTCTTGTACGTTACTAGAATAAATGGCCCGTGTTAATTTATTTGATTTTATTCGTGTTGTGTGTATTAAGTATTTATTTTACGTGTGTACATGTAAATATACATACTTCTTTAATAATGAATTACATATGACTATTATTGAGGTATTTTCGATATTATTTAGTGCAAAAGAATTTTAAAAAATTAATAGTTTTGTTTATTTGTGTCTCGTGCTCTGATCTGATGAAAATTCCTTGGGAAGCAAAAACACCTGGCCTTTTGTATGTCCCAATTTCGTATCTTTTTATTTAAAATTAATATCTCTGCTATTTATTTATTTTGTTTTTTTTTTTTTTATGTCTGAAAAGCCATTGATCTTGTTTATTGCTTTCCAGACAGACAACCTCATCACGGTTATTTGTGCAATTTATTTGTTTATAATATCGACAGAATTTGTACATCAAAATATATTATAAAGTTTATTACCATTTATGCTTAGACAAACATATATACCCTGGCATTTTGAATCAGCAACGTAACCAGGTTAGTTTAATATGAAATTCGACCCTTATTAATAGCACCATTATGCATAATTAGCCACATTAGCGGAACCAAGAACTTAAGTCCGTGAGGCTGAGTGCAATTAAAAAAATTTACGAGAAGGGCCGTTACTGCTACTATACACAAAAAAAATTACATTTTTTATATAAATTAATAGTGATTTGAGAAATATTGGGGTCGTGGCCCCCTAATCTAATGTTGCATCTGCCACTGATTAGTTAAGTTCGAAAAAAAAGGACAAACGAAGATAAAACAGTGTGAACGTGTGACAATAAAATCATAATATATATTCTTCATATAAATAGAAGCCAAATATATAGTCCAACACAAGTGGAAAACTTTTAAGGGTTTTTTTTTTTTTTTTGATAAATATGTTTAATTTATTTTCGTATTATTGTAAATAGTAGATATGATAATTACACGTGGAAACAAGTGGTGCATGCGGGTGGGCATGCAATATTGTCCGCATGCACCACAATATTAGGTTTTGGAAGCAGACATATCAAACTTTTAATTATTTCACATTTTCTTTTCTTTGTTTCTTTCGAATAAATATGTCTACCACTTTGGTCTATTATGATTACATTTGTCTACTCACTCTATATATACATATATCTCTTCGTTTTGTATAAGTTATCTTCTTTAGCAATTCTATTTTCTTAATTTCTAAAACGACACGTAATATATATGTAAAAAAATATATATATATATTAAAAAAAAAAAAAGTAACCCTCTATTGCTAATATCAATTATTGTAAAGGGAGGAAATTAAAAAGATAAAATAATCACAAATACTATTACATGTTGTCAAATAATCACTTGCAGGGTTGTTCCATGAGAAATTGAGAGTTTTAGGCGAATTTTAAATTTTGTAAGGTAAACAATAATTCATCCTAACGAACAGGACTGGATAAACTTTTTTTTATTAGCAATTAACAATTTTTGAGGATATATAAATGAAGAATTGACAAAATTAAGGTAAACTTTAATTTATGACTAATATATATATATATATATATATATAATACAAACTATTCAACTGCTCGAGACGATCTCCTTTCTCGCCTATAGTCAGAACCACCCTGATATGCCTAATTGGGCCAACCTAATGAGCCTACAATTTCTTTACCTAATGGGCCACGAACCCAATATTTAAGACCACTGTCACTGAGGCCCAATCACCTTCAAGTATGATTTGGGCCCGACAATACCAACTAAGCTATAAATAAAGGTTTGAACTCATTTCTTAAGGCACATCCTATTATCTGAGCAATACTATCAGCTGTATTTTCTGGACTATTTCCACTATCCGCACGTCTGACTTGAGCGTCGGAGGGGTTTCCACCGGATCAACCCCCGACTTAGTTCACGTGTTCTATGATTGCAGGTATCTCAAGGTCATCAAGCTCGTGAGCCAGTGATTCACTCTGCTCTTCTAACTCATACTACTTCAACTCTCGAAGGTGATCTAACTTTAGCATCATCACACCCGTCATCATTTTGTAATAAATTAGTACCTCCCCTTTTTTTTGATAAAGAGAATAATTCTGCATGTTTGAATTGAAGTTTGGAATTATTCTGTTTCATTAAATTCCAATTTGCATGGTTTCAGAAAACCATGTTTAAAAATTGATGTTTGAGTAATTTTGTTGTTTGGTCCTACGTACTTGGTATGTGGGAAATAAAGTTGGACGTCGTCGACCATCTTTATTTATTTTAAAATCTAACCAATTTGTGATGAAATTAAATCAAGGAAACTAAATTTTGTACCCAAATACCATATAACGAATAGTAATAATGAAATAATAATATTTTGGTAGAGTAATCAAATTACAAAAAAAAAAAAAAAGTTTGTCTAATTATAAAGACATTATACATTAAACAAGAATAGTATTTATTAATTAGAATTGAGCATAAGTTGTTACAAAATGCTAACAACTTTAGGTATAATGACGAGCGGGAGGGTTGACTAGAAAGAATGCAATTTAATTATTTATTTTGTGATATGATTCATTAATTTATACTATCATTATAAATATATACTCAAATATTATTTTATCGCACATTCAAATGCATATATCAAATTCAAAATGGCAAAAAAAAGTATAACTTTTTTACTTGAGTTCATATTGGTGGGGCTAGTTCTTGTTTTCCTTTTGAAAATTTGGATAAATCTCGATCGTTCTAATCAACTCTTTTATATCTGTCTATTTTCCCTTTAAATATTATTATTTATATTATATATTTTAATATAATCAAACAAACCATAATGATTGATATTATTTTATAATTAACTAGTTTTTTTTTTAATAGCGAGGCAAGTTTATTAGTTTTTGATTTATTAATATTATATATTGTGTATTTATAATCAAAATAACAAAAAAATCAAGTTTTCGCCATGTTGAGCAATTAAAAATGAGTCGAATCGTAACTTATGAAAGCTCAACCTCATCAGCTCGAACTTGAATTTTTTATTGAGACAACTCAACTCGATTTATATTTAATTTTACAAGTCCTTTCTTTTAATATAGATAAAGCCTTTAATTTGCAACCACTTTTATTGGATTTTTTTTTTCTTTTCTTTAACCTAAAATCTTTATTTAGTTTGACCAAATCTTGGTGGACGGTGGATCAACAAATATAATAAGATATACATTCTATAAGATGTTACATTTGGTGTAACATATTAGGTAATTTTAAATCGTAAATCGAAATAAATAGCTACTCATTAAGCATAGATATACAAGAATGCGTGTTACTATATGTAGATTAGTGATTCAAGACACCTGATATATTTCGTCGGATGTAAATTTACGTAGCTATAGATATACAATTCCCTCAAAAAGAAAAAAAGAGAAACAAATATAATAAATACTAACTGCAGAAAGAAAAGTATAATTTGGGCCGTTGATGAAGGGATCTTTTTATAGCATAAACATATGTTGAAATATTGAGGAGACATGAGAGGGAAGAATTAAATATATTATACTCTCATAAGAGTAACATATTTAATTATGTAACTTTTTTAAAGAATATAAAAAATTGCATAAATTTAGCCACTCATTATTTAAAAACAATAATTATCAGAAAAAGATATAAATAGAGTAAATGAAACCAGTCAACAAACAATATGGGCTCTGCCATCACAAAAATGGAAAGGAAAAAAACTACGGAACAAGCCCATTAAATAAAGCCCATTAATATGTTGTTTCATAATTTTTGCAAAAAATTCACTATTTTGTGTTGCTAAAACGTAACTTGTTCATAAGTTTCGTGTTCAACAACACGAAACCAAAAGAAACAAACTATTTTTTGTTCCTTAGAGCACCAAACCCATGTTCACATTTTGTGTAGCAGAGCACGAAACCTTAATTTTATTTATTTATTTATCTATATTTAATTTTTTTTTACTTAGCTTGTCTAGGAACAAAAAGACGAAGAAGATAATGACAACTTGTATTATGATGTTCCGTTTGACACGTTTGAATTTGAGGATTACGGTAATTTTTTTGCTATGAATACTGTGTTCGAAAGTAGGGAAACATTAATTGAATGAGTCAAAAACATCCTCAATAGCTAGTCAGAGTCAACGGTTGATATGTGCTTCAAGCGACAAAAATACTTATCATGTATTGACATATCATACGTTCGGACATGAACAAAAAAACCCGAACCGATTTAGAGAAACCTCGAAATATTACGTTGGGACAAAGAAATATAGATGTACATTCCAGTTATAGGGTAATAAGAATCGATATATTGGATTATGACGAATGACTGTAAGAGATGAGAACTACAATCATCAGCCGACATCCCTCTATTTAAATCACAACCCTACGTACTATTGAAAACTGAATTTACCAACTTGTGTCTTTAAATCAGAATGACAAAAATATTTAATATATGACAGAATTAAAAATATTAGTCTTCTGGAGTACTGCAATTGGAAATTGACATGTTATGGAGATAAATCACGTGGTCCAATTGGTAATTTACTATATGCAGTTGAGTAACAAAACAGTCTTTAATATTAATGACTACCTAACACCGACATATCTAACGGTATTTTATATGAAATAATTTTTTACTTATTTATAAATAATCAAATATCCATACAACCAATGTAGCATGAACACGGGAATGCGGATACGGAATGAGGAAATGGACACGATGAGTCACCATTTCTTCAGAAAGTTTGATACATAAATGTGGGGAATGTGCAAATATTAAAAATATAGGAGTACATGTACATCCATAAATTTTTTTTTTAAATATTATAAAGTTTAACTTATATATGCATCGTGAATAACATATTTGTATCTACAAACTATATATAATTTATAAGTTCTAATTCGAATTACTTTTCCGCAAATTACATTCGAGGCATCTACAAAAATACTAAAACACCACAAGAAGTGGAAAATATTATAGACATAAGATTTAAATTTCTTTAGACGTAGACCATTCCAAGTCTTTATTTAAAACGGAATTTAGAATATTTTTTGGGTGGATAAGCGGCACGCTTTTCAGTTTTTTACTATTGCTAGAAACGTCCTCAAAACTTTTAAATATATATGAAAACTGCCCTGAAACGTTTCATGGCATTTCGATTTCCGAAACATTTCGGAAAAGTGGAAACGCGTGTGTACAAAAGCTTCCGTGCATCATAGTATATGCTCTGTGCTAATAAAATAAACGATGGTTTTTTTTAATATTAGAGAAAATATAAGGATGCATAAATGCAATTAAATCCTAGAATATAATCCTATAATGTTCATATATAGATAAAAATGACTTTCAATTATTCAAGCATTAAGTTGCATTTCTCAGAAAAACAAAACAAATCAACATGTTTATGGAATTGTAATCACACATACTCATTCATTTAAGATCAAAGACACAAATATTAATTAATCCATACCCAGCATTAAAAAAAAAACTAATTATAGCTCAAAAACAAATCAAATATGGGCCGAAATCGCAACCGGGTCAATTCTCGGAGCAACACGGCAAAACAGGTCATGGGCCCGCGGGGCAGTCAACCCGGGTCGCTCCGTCATATCGACCCGACCCGACCCGTCGGGGAGTATCCAATCGAAGCACTGAATCATAGTCCCAATAATAATAATCACCTCCTGTATGCCCAACAGCATCCCCGGGCAGCCCCTCCTGCCCGTACCAAAGGGCAGAAGCTCAAAATGCTGCCCTTTAATATCAATGGCGGAATTCTCCTTCTGGAGGAATCTCTCGGGCAGAAACTCCAGCGGATTCACCCAGATCTTAGGGTTCCGGCCCATTGACCAGAGGTTGACGAAGAGGAGGCTGTTTGAGGGGACATCGTAGCCGTCGATCACGCAGTCGGAGATTGATTTTCTGGCGAGCATCGGGATCGGAGGGTGGAGGCGGAAAGTCTCCTTGATGATTGCCATTAGGTAAGGGAGATCGGCGGCGTCGGATTCCTGCACCAGCCGATCGGAGCCGATGACTCTGTCGATCTCTTGTTGGGCTTTGTGGAGTACTTTTGGGTTGTTGATTAGCTCCGATATCGCCCATTCCGCCGTGATTGCGGTTGTGTCGGTGCCGGCGGTGAAGAAATCCTGATTATATATTAAAATATTAATATAATATATTATTTATATGAAAAATGATGTTACGGTAAAGTTATGGTGGGGCCAATAGTTATTGAAAGTAATAAAATACATTTATTTAATTTTCATCAGGAAATATCTAGCTACCTAACCAAACGAATCCTAGCCGTTGTTCATATTTTACAAATTAAATTTATATTTTCAATTTGAATTGCAACTAAAATAAATATCAATATTTATTATAAAATAGTTAATATAGACTAAGTTTTAACTCTGAATAAATATAAGTTTATATTTTAATATTTAATTTATTATTCTCAAATCTTACTAGATATAAAGTACATCAATAATATTGTTTAAATACTTTTTTTTGTTGTTTAAATTATAAACAGTTGATTTCTCGTATTTGAGAAATCAAAGTTATAATTTAAACAATAATTTTAATTATTTCGACAATGCATATTAATGACATACGTAACCCCATTAAAGATGTTCTAACATAATACGTAAATTTCTAGTGAGCTAAAAAAACTCATGTGATAGAGCCCTTTAGGGGCTTTTGGGGCATTTCAGCCCGTATAAATATCCATGGGGATATTATTTTCAAATTTAATAATATTTAAATTATTTATAAGAAATTAAATGCAGTTGAATGTTGCCGCACATTGATTATTAGGATATTATAACACAAGGTAGTTATGTGGCCAACACACTCTCCTAAGTTTTATAGCATACACAAGCATTTGCTTTGTTTTCTAGAAGGTGCCATTATTATACTCTTTTTTAAATTTGTCCTTTTTCTTTCCACATAGAAAAGAATACTTTTTACTCGACAAACATGTTTCACATACTATAATTTGAATTTTAAATTGGGAAATTAAGTCAAAATATCTTACCATAATTCATTATACTACATGGTGGTGTAAGTAAGTTGAATCAGCTCGTGAGCTCGACAAACTCATCTCGAGTTCAAATTAATATAAGACACGTAAAACTTGTATTTGTGTTCGAGCTCGAGTTCGCCAAAACAGCCATACTCGACTCGTTTGCATCGGTAACCTTATATTACCACAATGACGTTCCTTTTCTTTTTCTTTTAGTTAACTAACTAGAAGTAAGGTATGGACTACAATATGCTATTTTTTAGAGTCTAACTAATAACGTTTCACTAAATTCATTTTTAAACATCTAATAATTCTTATATATGATAAGTTACCATTTCAAGAACTAATTAATAAGTCGTTAGTCTTATTTTCTAATTAATTTTGCAAACGTTAGGATCAGATATTATAAATTATTTTTACTAATTATAAGATCTTAAATAATAAAGTTAGTTAAATGGTGAGGACTATCTATAAATATTATGGGTCGTAGTCCGTTTCTCTTTTTACTCGATATACTTTTATCAAATAAATTAAAATAAATAAATAAAAATTAAAATTAAAATAAATATGTAGTGGATAGTTCTTACCAAAATGAGAGCTTTGAGATGTTCTCTAGTGAATGTAACCTCGGATTTCCCACCTTCCATAATATCCAGAAACATGTCGAGAAAATCCCTAGCTTCCCCGGCGGCGCCGCCGTGGTTCCGCCGCAGCTCCTCCCTGTCGGTGATAATCTTCTCCAGCAAGGCATCGTACCTCCTCTGAATATCCTCGGACCTCTTCCTAATCCCCTGGAAATCAAAGTTCTTACAGAACCAGATAATATCCGCCACGTCAAACTCGCCGAATATCTGCGTCACCTCCCGGATGACCGTCCTCGCCGCCTCGGCGTCGCCGTCGGTGCCGGAGCACCGGATCCCGAGCATCATGTGGGAGATGACGTTGCTGGTCAGCTTGACCAGCTCCTCCGTGACGTTGAACGCCTCGCCGGACTCCGCCTTGGCCATCAGATCTCCGACGAAGCTGTTCACCTCAAGTGTCCTGATCGGCCGGAAGTGGAGGAGGTTCCTGGCGCCGAGGAGCTCGTACGTGCAGAGCTTCTTGATGTACTTCCAGTACGGCCCGTACGGCGAGAAGGCGAACGACGAGTCGTAGGTGACGATGTCGATGGCGGTGGAGTGTTTCCGGGAGGAGAAGACGAGCTCGTGGGTCTTCAGGCACTCCTTGGCGAGCTCCGGCGTGGACGCCACCACGCACGCGACGGAGCCGAGGCGGAGCTGGACTAAGGGCCCGTGGCGGAGGGAGAGGTCGTGGAAGGTTTGGTGGAGGCGCGGGCCGAGGAGGTGGAGGTGGCCGATGATGGGGAGGGCGAGTGGGCCCGGTGGGTAGGAGAGGCGGCGGCGGCGCTTTGCGGCGGTGAGGATTGTGTGGAGGAAGGCGGCGGAGAGGAGGAAGAGGGCGGTGGAGAGTGTGAGCTGGACTAGGTCCATATTATTTAATTTGAATTAATTATAATTAGAAAATAGTATTTTGGTGTGTGGGTTTATAAAGTTTATATAAAGGGATGTGTGAATTTGTGTTTGGTAAGAAGGGTGGTGGTGGGAAAATGGGATATCTGTTCTATTTTGCTTCATTGGTTTTTCTTTTTTATATTATTTTCATTTATTTTTAATTTTGTTTTGGTTCCCTTTGGAACAAAGGTGCATGTGGATAGTAGTAGTACACTAGTAATGGTTAGTGATTAGGGAAAATTGCATTTCACCCCCTATAAATTTTCAATACTTGCAGTTCTTCCCCCTCAAAATCCTAAAGAACGAGTGTCCTTCTTCAAAGTAATATTTTTGTTGTATGTTGTCCGATAACAAAACTCTGATGGTTTATACATCGGAATCAAGTGTTTTTATCCTATTATATATCAATTAAAATGTTGTTGTTGTTGCTTGTTGCCTCTTTCAAATGTTATTTTTGTTGCACTTATGCGCTTCTAAAATGTTATTTTGTTGCCTATTGCCCACTAGAAATTGGGTTTCGGTGCAGAGTGCAACCAAAATAGTATTTTATAGGGGGTTGTCTCGTTTTTTATTTTTAGGGGGAAAAGTGCGAATTTGAAATTTTATAGGGGGGAGAAGTGTATTTTGTCCTAATGGTTATTAAGATGTAATATGCCATTGGAGAAGGGGTGTGGTGGGGTTGTAAAAAGTGATGTGTTATTAATATTAGGATAAAATGCATTTCGACCCCTATAAGTTTTCTAAATTTGCACTTTCCTCCTAAAATTTAAAAAAACGAGACTACACTATGAAATTGTTCTGGTTGCACTTTGCCAAATTTGCTGGTGGACAACGTGCAACAAAATAACAGTTTAGAGGTGGCAACGTGTAATAAAATAATATTTGAAAGGCGATCTGCAACAACAATAACATTTAAAGGGGTAATTGCAATAAAATAAAATAAAAACACTCGATTCTGATGAATAACCATTGGAATTTGGCTATCGGGACAACGTGCAACAAATATAACATTTTGAAGAGGCATTCACTTTTTTGAATTTGAGGGAGGAAAAGTGTGAAACTTAGAAATCTATAGGGGTGAAGTGCAATTTGCCAAAAGAAATAAATCATGTATTGTAAACTTGGTCTTAATAAATCAATATCCCAGGTCTCACGTGACTTATTAATTTGACATTTTGTGACCAACAAATGAAATTATTTCTCAGTCGACAGGAATTTTATGTGGCTTTGCAAGATGTGTGTGACAAAAGATAAGGAGAATTAAAGCTCTTCACATTGATACTTTATGTGTGTTTATAATGATTTTCACCTAAATGATGAAAAATTTATAAAAAAATTTATGATTGTCCTAATATTAAAAAAGGCATTTGAGTCAAAAGGGTTTCTAGACGGCCACCCTTGAGGTGATGTCAAATTACGAAAAAAACCCTCATGTTTGGGTAATTACAATCACTCCTCAACCATGAATCTTTTTTACACAATCTTTTTTGATTCCACGGAATATTTTCCGAAAAATGTCAATTCTACCCTTATAGACATAGCACAAGAACTACATTAATGCGTCATTTACATGGAACATATATTCTTCTTAATTCTCCATCTGTCTCTTATTTTATGTCTTTTTGGAGTGTTTTTTTTGTTCCAAATTATTTGTCATATTAAAGTTTCAATAAGGTATTAGTTGTATTTTTATCAATTTTGCCTCTTATCAGTCTTAATTAGTTAATTAAAAAATAATTAGTGACAAGCGTATTTTAGTATTTACTATGCTATTTTGGGTATAATCTATACATATTTATTGACTATCTTAATCTATGCGTAACCACAAAAAACGACATATAAAAAGGGACGGTGGGAGTAACACATTCACAGTTTTTTTAGTGTTTACCATTGCTCCCCTTAGAATAAGTTTTGTCTTCAAAAAAAGTAGAATGAAAAAATGCTATGTTTGTAAGGGTAGAATTGACATTTTTTGGAATATATTCCATGGAATAAAAAAGATTTCCTGAAAAATTACACACTAAGAGTATCGGTATAAGACGTAAGCAAACATCATGTGGGTTTTGTAGTTACTGATAGGTTGAGGAGTTTTTAGTAATTTAGTCTAAGTTCACGGGGGTTTTCGTAATTTTGTTATGTTCCTATGCACACTACTAGATCTCAATTATTGATATTCGTTTGCATGATAATTAAGAGAGAAAATCAACAAACAAAATTCTAAAATAAGAATTGATATAAATATACAAATTAATAAGTGCAATAGTGTGTCCACCTCTTGCGGGGCAAAATTGGTAGTCTCTTAATATAGCATGTAATAGGTTGGTGGGTTTTAATAATGTTTCTTCACAAAATTTAGTTGAGTGGTAGATGGCACGTGCTGATGTGATGGCCTTCCATTTTATCACCAAAAAAAGTTCTTTCAATTTAAATATATTTTCTTTTAATTAAATTAATATTTTCTATTATTTCATTTGGTTTTCGATATTTCCTCACAACATTTTAGCTAGATCCAAATTTTATCGTACGTAATCTGAATTTAGATTTCAAAGAAATATATTTATTCAGATTTCATAAAATAAAAGGGAGATTTTTTCTATTAATTTCACCAAAATTACATTAATATATATTGAGAAATTTACAATTTTCATCCCTCAAGTTTGCAACGATTTCACATTTGGTCCCTCATGTTTTAATAATTTGACATTTTTGGTCATTTTCGTCAATTTACGCTTAGTCCGTCTGTTAAGGTAATGTTTATAATTAGGCCCTTTAGTTATGAATTTTGGCCCAGAATATATTTAGCCCAGTACATCAATTGTATATTTAAATATTCCATAGCTCTGGTCAACTTTGGAGAGGTGGTTAGAAATAACCACGCAGTAAATAAAGTGGGTTAGTACTTAGTATGGCTTAATTCCACTTTGCACCCTTCAAATATACAGTTTTAGAACTTTGCGCCCTCAAAATAATTTAATAGCATTTTGCACCCTCGAAACACAATATATCATGCATAATACATCTCAAATGAATTTTTAAAACTAATAAAGGTAATTTAATATTTTTCTTGGTACTTTTATTAGATGACAAATGTTAAATATTTATTTTATTCATCAATCATTTTGAAACTATAAAGTACAAAAATAAAAATACTTCTCATCAACATATTTAAAAATTATATTTTTTTATCACAAACAATAATTTACAAGAAAAAATCCGCCAGCTATTTCGTTATCAAGTTATCTAAAATTCATATTTTCTTCCAAAAACTTTTGCGTAATATTTCCACCAGTTACGATAAAAGATTCATCAATCGAATAATTTAGTGATTAAAGTTTATTTTGTATGCAAATGTTTATTTTTTCAATAATCCGGTGTGAGATTTATTTTTCGCACTTTGTGCGCTTGAAATTAGGTTGGTGGTTGAAGACAACAAAAATTTAATTTACTATTTTGCATCCGAAAAAACGAATAAAAAATGAAAATGCCTTTATTATTCACTTCAAGATGCATCGGGAATGATTTACTGTGTTTTGAGGATGCAAAATGTTATTATTATTATTATTTTCCAAAGGTACAAAGTGCCAAAAAGTTTTATTTCGAGGGTGCAAAATGAGATTAAGCCGGATTAGTATTTAGTAAAGATCCAACAAGAAAGAAGACAGTGAGATCTTATAATCTTTGAGTTATAATTAGAGATAAATATAAAAATAAAAGTGAAATTATATAACTGATAAGAATCAGTGGTTTCTCGAGTTACTTATTTCTGCTTCAACTGTTGTGAAATGCGACTTTATAATGTAAATAATAGTGAAACACGTTTTAAGTGTATCCCAAGTAAAACTAGAAGGCTCCAGGCCCATTGTTTTATCGGGCCAGATTTTAACTTCTCAATTGGCCCGAGTTTTTGTAACGATTTGCGTTTAATTGTTTATAACGTAAGACAAAATAAATATATATTTTGAATTAGAGTTGTAATTCGGATAATTTTTTTAATTAATTGAAGTTTTTTGTTTGGATAATTTTCTTTTTTTAGAGTTGTACAAATGTATGAAATCTTTAGCTCGATTTTAGGAACAATTGTTTCATTTATTAATGTTACTCGTTCAATATATTATCCATTTTTTAAATTCACTTTTATCTTTATTATTTTTGGTAAAAAAAAAACATTTTTTTTTCGTTTTTTTCTCGAAATCAACTACGAAAACTCTATAACAATCACAAAAAATAATTGTTTTCAACAACAAATAGAGTTTAACTATTGGAATTGCCATGATTATATCGATTATTTTTGTTTGGATATATTATCACACAACGTTTTTTATTTAAACATAATATAATTGTTTCTATTTTCTATTTAATTTTATTGCAATATATAATAATTCCACATGAGAAAAATTGATAGATTGAGTTAAGATTTATTATAATTTATAAAGTAAAAATAATCTTTATTTCAAGAAAAAGCAACATGAGAAAAATGAGAAAAACATAAATAATAAAATGGAGTATAATTAAAAGAATGAAATTAATGGCCAAATAAATATTTACGCACTATTTATAAACTAAATTAGTAATTTAGTTCCCTATTATTAGGGCACCAATTATTCACACTAAACAGAGCATCCGTTACAAATCTGCACCCTAATTATAAAGATAAAATTAGATTTAGATAATAGATAAATTTGGACTCTAATTATAAAGATAAAATTAGTTTATCCAATTAATTTAAAAGTTTATCCGAATTACAACTCTAATTCCAAAATTCCGTTCCGTTATAAACGCAAATTGTTACAATACTCTTCGTTTCCAAGTCTATATATATACGGCCCCTTACAATCACATTCATCAATTCAGTTTGTTAATTCACAGTCTAATTGAATAGTTCAGATTAGGGTTTATCGCAGATCAGATTTAAGAAGAGGAAAAAAAAATGGAGCTTGATTTAACACCAAAGTTGGCGAAGAAGGTGTACGGTGGAGACGGCGGCGCGTACTACGCGTGGTGCCCGAATGAGCTTCCCATGCTCCGTGAAGGCAACATCGGCGCCTCCAAACTCGTTCTCGAGAAGAATGGCTTCGCTATGCCACGTTACTCCGATTCCGCCAAGGTTGCCTATGTTCTTCAGGGTATGCTCTTCTTTCTACATGCAGAAATCTGATTTATCGTGTCGATATTGTGTGTTTTTGTCCTTTTTATTAACGAATCAGATTTCTGATTTCATAATAAATCATTGATCTGCGATTTGGATTTTTTTGGGCGTGTTTTCTGTTTTTTGTTGGTTTTGGTGAATGATCTTCCTGCTTCCGTGTTCGATTTTGTTAATATATATTTCAATTTTATCGTCCCTTTGTGTTTGCTCATATTGTGTTGAGTATGCATGATTAGAACTTGAGATTTTCAGTCTTTCATCGCATGAATGTGGGATTAATTCTCTGTTTCAAAAGTTTTTTTTTTTCCTGAGTTATGCAAAATCTTCCTACCAAGTGTTTGATCATTTGTCACAATAAAATATTTTCGATGTGTTCCACCACGTGTTCAATTATATGTCACCATAAAAAAACTTCCAATATCTTCCAACAGGCAGCGGTGTGGCCGGAATAGTCCTTCCCGAGAAGGAAGAGAAGGTCCTAGCAATCAAAAAAGGTGACTCAATCGCCCTCCCGTTCGGAGTTACCACATGGTACTACAACAAAGAAGACACCGAGCTAGCAATCCTCTTCCTCGGAGACACCTCAAAGGCCCACAAGGCGGGCTCCTTCACCGACTTCTCCCTAACGGGCCCCACCGGAATCTTCACCGGATTCTCAACGGAGTTCGTCTCCAGAGCATGGGACCTAGACGAGACCACCGTGAAGGCACTCGTGGGCAGCCAAACAGCAAACGGGATTGTCAAACTAGCCCCCGGATTCAAAATGCCCGAGCCAAAGAAGGAACACTACAACGGCATGGCCTTGAACTGCGAGGAGGCTCCGTTGGATGTCGACATCAAGGGCGGGGGCAAAGTCGTACTTTTGAACACCAAGAATCTGCCATTGGTCGGAGAAGTTGGGCTTGGTGCAGATCTTGTGAGGCTCAATGGTGGAGCTATGTGCTCGCCTGGAATGTCTTGTGACTCGGCTTTGCAGGTGACTTATATTGTGAGGGGGAGTGGCAGAGTGCAGGTTGTTGGAATTGATGGTAAACGCGTGCTCGAAACTACGGTTAAGGCAGGGAATTTGTTCATTGTTCCGAGGTTTTTCGTCGTGTCCAAGATTTCAGATGCTGATGGCTTGGACTGGTTTTCGATCATCACCACTCCCAAGTGAGTATATTGTTGATTTTTTTTAAATCTTGAAATTTAAATTTTCGATTATTTTTCTAATGTCTTATTTAAATGGCAGCCCAATATTCACACATTTGGCTGGAAGGACGTCGGTTTGGAAGGCGCTGTCGCCGCAAGTGTTGCAGGCATCTTTCAACGTACCGGAAGACGTGGAGAAGAAATTCTCTTCCATGAGAAAGGCTGAGGAAATCTTCTTCCCACCACCAAATTAGAAGAGTAGTTAAGTTAGTGTTTTTTTCTAATTAGTTTTTAATTACGCTTTTTTAGTGATAAGATTTCGTTTTCATTTACGCTTTTAGTAGTAATAAGGCGGTCCCGGATTTTGGAGGGAGGAATTAGTTTTTAATTACGCTTTTAGTGATAAGATTGAGTTTTTCAATGACTATGGTTTTATTAGGATTTTCTGATTTTGGATTTTTATGATATTTCGGTGTTCCCTATTTTGTTTTTTTCATGTAGCTCCAAATTTCAAATGGATAACCAAAAAAAACTAGAGGCTGGTGCCTTTGTTCATTCGGGTTACGGCTCCTACAAAACAAGAATCTCTTATCCAAATTCACTGTCCCAAAATTTAATTAAAACCTGCCAAAACACACACATACACACACAGAGCAGCCATGGATTGCATTGGTTTCCACCAATCATCGTTTACTCATACTTTCATCAACCCAAAACCTTCAAATTTCACTTTTAATAACGCACCGTTTATTTATCGTCATAATAGAAGTATAAATAATGCATTGAAGCTCACAAGTACGTGCTGCTGTGCCGTTGGATTATCATCAGGAGAATCATCGTCTTCCCCTTCGATTAATTTTGCAACAGTCGAAGCTGAAATAACTCAAGAAACCATCGATTTCTTTTCTAGCGATGCAGAGGGCGATCCTGACCGTCCATCTCCCGGCTACTCTTCCATCGAACAAGCCCTCGTCGCATTGCGCCAAGAAAACGTATTAATATATATATCGACTTATTGTTTTATTTATTGGACTATTGTTATCAAAACCCTTGTGCTGAAAATTTTGTTTGAAGTTCGTGATTGTTGTAGATGATGGTGAAAGTGACGATGATAACGTTGAAGGAAGCCTTGTAATGGCAGCTTCACATGTGAGCTCAAAGGCTATTGCTTTCATGGTGAAGCATGGTTCGGGTATAGTTTCGGTCGGGATGAAAGACGACGATCTCGAGAGATTAAAGCTCCCTCTGATGTCACCGGAAAACGACGACGGTTCTTCCTCCGCTCCTTCGTTTACGATCACAGTGGTATAAGTGGGATTTTTTTAAATGGTCTGACTCTGATATCATGTCTGTTGACCACAACTAAAAGTTCAAGCCGTTAGTTGATGTGAAATCATTTAATATTTATATCTGCAGTTTCTGAAAATGCTCGAATTTCATTCTCTTTTGACTTTTTTTGGTCGAACGATTAGGATGCAAAAGTTGGAACATCGACCGGTGTGTCGGCTTCAGACAGGGCGAAAACTGTCCTTGCTCTCGCATCTTCTGAATCCAGAGCTGATGATTTCGTAAGGCCGGGCCATGTTTTCCCCTTGAAGTACAAAAACGGGGGCGTTTTACGAAGAGCGGGCCCCACTGAGGCTTCTGTGGACTTGGTGACCCTGGCTGGTCTAAGGCCCGTTTCGGTTCTCTCAGCGGTAGTTGACTCGGAAGATGGTTCAATTGCTTCAATGGCCGTCTTACGAAATTTGGCATCGGAGCATAGCATTCCAATTGTTTCGATCACGGATCTCATAAGGTATAACATTATAAATTGGTGATTATTTCATCTTTTATGTGGACAATCAAAAATAATGTTTTTTTTATTTTGCTCTTAGGTATCGGAGAAAGCGGGAAAAATTGGTCGAAAGAAGTGCGATTTCGAGTATGCCGACTAAATGGGGTTTATTTCAAGCGCATTGTTATCGTTCGAAACTTGACGGAACGGAGAACATTGCCATTGTAAAGGTAATCAAAAAGATTAATAATAATCTTTTTTTTTTTTTTGCATATTTTAAATTGTTATAAATATAGGGAGAAATTGGGAATGGACAAGATGTACTAGTAAGAGTGCACTCCGAGTGTTTAACCGGTGATATTTTCGGTTCGAGGCGGTGCGACTGTGGCAGTCAATTAGATTTAGCAATGCAGTTAATTGAGAAAGAAAAAAGAGGTGTTCTCGTTTATCTTACGGGGCACGAGGGGCGTGGAATTGGGCTAGGTCACAAACTAGATGCCTATAATTTGCAGGACCAAGGCCACGACACGGTGGAAGCAAATATCGAGCTTGGTTTTGCTGCCGATGCACGTGAATATGGGATTGGTGCCCAGGTTCGTTTGTCGATTCAATTTTGTCACGTTTTATCCGTAAATTTTCTAATGTTGAGCATTTTTGTTTTGTTGTATGATCATTCATTAATCTTGATGGAACCTTTAGATCTGTTTAATTAAGGGTGAAAATTGGAACGAAATTAATTCCAATTACGGAACAAGAACTTTCATTCCGAATTTTGAAATTTCAATTTTCGGTTATATTTTTAACGGAATTGGAATAGATATTAGATTCCGATTTCCAATTTATTTTAATTTATGTTTACAAAAAAATTCATTTTTTTCCGGAAATTTCACTTATAATATCGATATTATTATGTATTTTACAATAGAGGTGACTAAAAACTTGAAAATTCCGAATTCCGCAGATTCTGATTCGAAAATCTCCGATTTTGGAACAAGTTTTTCCAGTAATGTAGTAAGTGTTTTCTAGATTGACAAACTAAAAAAAAAAACTCGACTCTGCTTCTTGAAACAGATACTACACGACATCGGAGTTCACACGATGCGATTAATGACAAACAATCCAGCAAAATATACCGGTTTAAAAGGTTACGGTTTGGCAGTTGTTGGCCGTGTTCCTGTCCTAACTCCAATCACGGAAGACAACAAGCGATATCTCGAGACGAAAAGAACGAAAATGGGTCATATATATGGATCCGATCTAAAAATCCCGATTACCGAATTCGTACGAGAACTCCCTGATCTTTAGGTATATATAATTTTTTTTATTTCTTTTATTTTTTAATTTTTATTACATTCAACAAATACATGCTATTTATTCTTACATTGTGAAAATATTACTCATGTTTCAAATTCGGTAACATCATGTAAAGAAGTTTATACAAAATGAATTGCAATAGTTATATTTGCTGAAATGTGTATGTATATACATATACATATAGGATTACCTTATAGTAGTACTTGAGTTCGAATAATTTGGAAGTGTTGCGAATTTCCTCGATGAAAATCTTCCCTGTTCAGCGTTTCCAAATACGAATGCACGTTTATCGAAGATCCATGAGGTGGTGTGCCATCATTGGTTCGATCGCACACGTAAGATCTGCAAAGAGGACAGCTGGCATGCGTCTGGAACCAAGTATCGATACACGAAACGTGGAAAACATGTGCGCAATTCGGCAGATGTTTCACCCATTCCCCTTCTTCGAATTCACCCAAACACACTGCACACTCTGCCGCACTACTATTATTATTATTTTTGTCGATTTTTTTCTCGATCTGAGTGATGGGGAGCGAGTGCATGATGTGGGAATCGAGCGCCATGCTGTGGAACTGGGAGGAATATTCCTCGAGATGCTCGTTTATTCGCCTCCTTTGTTCTGAATTACGTGATAGGTTTATTATTGCGCAGTTTCGTTCGAGGATCTTGTAGTAACTGAACAGAAGGAATATGCTGCAGACGAGCCCGACTAAAACGATGACCTGTGGGTCCCACTTCGACGGAACGGTGTCTTGCGATTCCGTAGGGGGTGGAGTCATCATAATTGAAATGTATTAGAATTTTTATTTTTTATTTTTTTTAATAATTTGGTTTACGGTTTCGGGGATGAGTGAAAATTGTTTTTATGAAACCAAGAAACAAGTGGAGATAACAAGAAACTGCACTTAGGGCTTCTTTCCTCGTTTCTTGTTTTTCGTTTTCGATGAAACTAACAAAATTAATAAAGACAAAAAATATACACCCTTTTGAAAAGAGGAGAAATTTCGATCGTTTGTTAATCGTAAAACGCATTATTCAATCAAAAAATCGGTCCCTTGAGATTAAATATCAATGTGTTGCCATTTACACAATTTGTTTCCGAAAAAAACGAAATTGCAAGTACTAAGTACTAATATGCTAGTAACCACAAGATATCAATGAAGCATTGCATTTGCTCCCACGAGCCAATAACGGGGTGACATTTGTCGCCGGTTTCTGATAAAAGCTGACATCGCCACCTTGGCAAAGCTGAGGTGGATTCCGCCAAGTAGGAAGCGGGCCCGCCACAAGAATATTCTGAAGAAGCGGGCCCGCCTCTACAACGGTCTGCAGGAACTTCCCCCTCTTAGGCAACGGCTTCCCCTTCACGAGGCGGTCAATTACCAAATTGCCCTCGTCGACTTTGTTACAACATTCTTGAACCAAAATGTTCGAAAAATCGGGGGAAAAAACCGGGTCGAAAAGGGACGCCACACTGTTCGATCCCGTCACGCTCGAATTAGGGTTTTCGTTTACGGGTTTCGGAAGTGGGGTTTCGGGTAACCGAAACGAGGGATTCATGTAGTTGGCTTGTGGTGGCATTATGGTAATATTGTTGTTGTTGAGGAGCTTTTGGAGGTGGGTTTTGGCATCGTCTCTTTCTTGGAATGCGCATTTTAGCAGGTTGATCAAATGGCTAACGTACGCCTTGTTCTGCCTCATTTGTTCCATTGCTTCTGATCTCAGCTTCTCTAGTTCCAGAGTGGTGAACAGAAGCTTCTGCTTCAGTTGCTCCACTTCATGATTTTGATTATTGTACTACAAATATTTTTTAAAAATAAAAAAAAAAATAATAAAAAACTACCACTATTTATTAATCAATTAAAAAAAACATTTTAATATAAATGTAATTAAATTAATAATAACAAGGAGTTAAAGAAGACTCACTACCTCTTCGAATCCCCACGAAGCATCCATCTCCCCCATTAATTTTGTCTATGGAATAAAAATACATGTTCTTGAAAATTGAAATATATATATAGAGTGGGGTGATCAATAAAAAATTAAAATGGACAAGAATATATCATTCAAATGGGAAAAAAAAACTTATTAAGGAATTTAGAAAAACCTTCCAACTAAAAATGGGGAACCCCTTTGACTAATGTTGACTTTCTTCTCTTGAAATTTTTAACTTTTTTAATTTTATTTTTTCAAATTCCAATGTTTAAGGAACTTGTTTCTCTTACCATAAACTAAAAGACATATAATAAGCCAAGGTTATTTTTATGCTACATTCGATTAATTTTTACAGTTGATTTACACAAACTAATGTGTGTATATGTATATATTTGTTTGCTTATGATAGTAAATAATATATACCCAGTGTGTTTCACCTCGTTGTATAAAGCAAAAATCAAACAATGTCTGATGTTTTCTATTATTTCTCTTATGGTTATTTGGTGAATGGTTGAATATAATCCAGGTGTATTTTCATTAATTGTTATATAAATAATGCAATTTTATATTATAAAGTCTTCAATTTTATTTCCTTATTTTTTTTGAATTCAATAAATAAGAGGTGATAATTTCACGGGTTTTGTTAGTTTAAAAAGGTAAGGTGCTATTGATGTTTTTGTAATGTTGACTTCACATGTTTTTGTAACGTTGACTTCCCTCTCCTTTTTTTCTGTGGAGTTGAAAAACTTGAAATCATACATAGCAATATAACATGTGTATTTTTTTTTTTTAATTTTATATTTAAATTAATGTAACGTTTTAGTGTTTTACTACCATAAAGTCCTATGAGTAGATCATAAAGACACCTCCCTTCTATACTAGTTCATGGTCAATGCATTTAGTTAAAATCTATCATTTTCTTTTAGGGTAAATTACATTAGGGCTGGGACTGGGTTGGGTCAGTTGATTACCAGCCTAAAACCGACTCATCCGTCAAACCATTTTTGCTCAAATTTGAAAACCGTTGCCGATCCAACATTTGTGGGTCGGTTGATGGTTGGCAACCCAATATTTGGTTCCGGAATGGGTCAGTTGATGGTTTATACCCGTCACCTAGTTCACTTAAAAAAAATCAAATTTTGGAGGAAAAATATCCACATTTGGCATAATGCTACGGTGTGATCATCATTTATCAGTTCAAAATAATTAAAAACAATTTAACGAAAAAATATAATTAAGAAATTCAAAGTAATTTCAAATATGCACAAGAGATTTTTAGTGGAATTTTGTGAGCTTTTTGTTTAAATTTTGGCATAAAAAAACTCGTGGAAGGTTTAAGTCATTTTTTTCCTTTGTTGATTATTTTTAAAATTTAAAATATTAATATTTTGATAATTTCAATAATCACTTAAGAAAACAAGGGCTTTATTTTATAGTTTTAATAAAAATTTAATAATATAGTTGGATGACCGATAATTATCGGTCAACCAACTTTATAATATTAGAAACCACCAACCGACCCATTATAGATGGGTTGGTTGAAATTTTCGACCCGATCTAATGGGTCGGTTAAAAATTGATTATCCACCTAAAAATATGGTCGGTAATGAGTCGGTTGGTAGATAAAAACCAACCCAGTCCCAGCCCTAAATTACATCACGCCCCCAGATGTAAAGTTTATTTACGAAAAATCTGTCATGTTTTCATAATTACATTCACCCTCTTTAATTTATAGATTTTTACATTAACACCCTTATGTAGTAGGTGGACCGTGGATGTAAGAAATTTACAAACTGTAGGGATCTGGATGTAATTTTAAAAAAATAGAGGTTTTGTTCGTAAATAAACTTTAACTTAGGGAGGTGGTTGTAATTTACCTTTTTTCTTTTTTGAATATGCAATGTCAAAGAAAATGCTCTTTACGGGCTAATAAGTGCTATTTACCGTTCAAAGTAAAAAACAGTTTATCTCTCTAAAACCCCTAAAATTCGAAATTCTCTCCAATTACCCCCTATTCCAAAAATTTCAGAAAAATTTTTTTTTTTCGAAAAATTTCGAAATCAACCAAAATCGAGCTTGGGCTTCGATTTTTTCAGGTAATTTCAACACCTACATGTGTTATATGCAATGGGTAACTCGATTTTGCAACCAATTTCATGTTTAAAAGCCCTACAAATCGATTTGTAGGGCTTTG